ATCATCATCATCATCATCATCATCATCTTTATTTATAAAGCGCTTTAACACCAGCCACAGCTGAAACAAAGTGCTGAACATCAGTTAAAAACAAGATAAAAGAAAGCATAAAAACAAAGCTACAAAACCAAGCACACAATGAACTAAAAACTCAGTTTAAAATACAATAAAATGACAAGTTGTCATCTTTCTTTGTTGAAATCAGGTCTCTCTTGTAAATGAGTCCTCGAGGCTCATTGGGATTACCTGTCTAAATTGAATGAAAAGTTGAACAGATAAAATCAATACCAATAAAAATGAAATAAAATTAAGTCTCATTTGGGTTGAAGGTCAATGAGTAGAGATGAGTTTTCAGATGGGTTTTAACAACGGACAGTGAAGGGGCCTGTCGAATGTGCAAAGGCAGAGCGTTCCATAACTTAGGGGCACTAACAGAGAAGGCCCTGACTCCTAAGCTTCCATTTACTCTTGGGAATGACCAGAAGCAGCTGATCAGAGGACCTGAATGACTGAGGGGGAGTGTAGTGGTGGAGACGCTCTGTTAAATAAAGCGAGGCAAGGCTGTTTAAAACCTTAAAAACAAACAAAAGAATTTTAAAATTAACTCTAAAATGCACGGGCAGCCAGTGGAGAGAAGTCAGGACAGGCGTGATGTGCTCTCTTTTACGTGTTCCTGTTTAAAGACGTGCAGCAGCATTTTGCACCGGCTGCAGACGTGTAAGTGAGGACTGGCTAACTCCGAGATAGAGGGAATTACAGTAATCCAGCCTTGATGAAATGAAGACATGGATTACTGTTTTAAACTGTTGCATTGAAAGAATAGATTTTCCCTTTGCTAATTTTCTTAAATGATAAAAACCAGACTTGACTGTGGCCCTTATTTGACTGTCCGGTTTAAAATCACTGTCCATCTTAAAACCAAGTTTTGTAACTGTGGACTTTACGTACATTGGCAGGGGGTCTAAGTCAACTGAAGGGCTTAAACAAGCTCCACTAGGTCCAAAAACAAGTACCTCTGTTTTTTTTTTCATTAAAATGCAGGAAGTTTAGGGCCATCCAAGCTTTAAGATACTCGAGACACGATAAAAGAGATTTGATGGACCAAGCATCAACTCGCTTTAAAGGCACATAGATTTGGTAATCATCAGCTTAGCAGTGAAAGGAGATGCCGTGTTTTCTAAAAAAATCAATCCTAGAGGAAGTAGATATAAAGAAAAAAGCAAAGACCCTAAAATTGATCCCTGAGGAGCCCCTCATGACAGAGGAGCAGAAAAGGATTCACACCCAGTAGATTTACAGAAAATGTTCTGTTTTCCAGATAGCACCCCAACCACTCCAGAGTAGTCCCACTGATGCCTACTTGGTGCTGTAGACGTGACAATGAAATGCTGTGGTCCACTGTGTCAAAAGCAGCAGTTAAGTCCAGTAACACAATGAAATAAAAAGTAAGTTAACATTATTTATCTGAGGAGCAGACTGCTTTGAGTTTCACTCCATCGCAGACGCTCATCTTGAGCAAGCATGAAGGCAACAGTGGAAAGGAAAAACTTTCTCATGAGGAAGAAACTTCTAGCAGAAACAGGCTCAGGACAAGTGGTCATCTGCTTCAACATGCTGGGTTTGAGAGGAACAGGAAGGAACAGATACACAATGGCAGGTTCTACAAGGTCTTTGCTTGTCCAGGCCATTGATATAAACGTATAATGTGTCCTATGCTGACAAATGAAAATTAAGCAATTACAAACAGATTTTAGAGTTCCATTAAAATCTGTCCAGTTGTTCATGAGACATTTTGCTAACAGACACAGGCTTGTGTTTGCATCAGTTACATGATCGCCAGTCTTTTATGGCAGCGGGTCACTTATTTTTGCTTCTTGTTTATTAACCCCATGAAAAGACTGAAAGAAAATTTGCCCACGTTGAGTTCTTACAAAGCAGATCTGTGTTATAGTCTTGAATAAAACATAGTGACACACACACACACACGCACACACATACCAGTGTGTTTTAATGGTTTAGCTGTGTTTAATTATTTACTGCTGTCTTTCAGAGGCGGTGCTGGTGTTGATTACCATCGCACACGGCTCCCCGCTTCCCTCGGTTCCTCGTTCAGTTCCTTTGCTTCCAGTCGTCGTCTCACACCTGCTGGACGTTTCAAGGTTCCCCCGGCTGCTGCAGGCTTTTAGATGTCAACATGTCAGGGATTACTGGAGATCAGCTGCATCGTTCTACCTTGGGCATATACTCCGTAAGTAACAGGTCCAGTCAGCAGCTCTCTGTGAGAGCTGAGATCAAACAAACTTGAATTTTTTTTTCTCTTCAGGAGATGCTTAAAGGTAAAAAAAAAATGGGCCAGTGCAGTTTCTGGCATGTTCTTTTTTTTGTTGCAGAGAATGAAAGCTCAGTTTAACTCTCATTCTGACTAACAAACATGCTCTTGTTAAACTAAACACATGATTGTTTAGATTAAACTATCAGTATTCTGTTCAGTATTCACAGTATTCTGCACCACTTTCAGTCAGGGTGTTGTGAATCCCACTCAACTGAAACAGCTCTTCTTAGAGTCTCAAATGATATTTTGATGCAACGTGACGCAGGTAAATGTTCTGTGCTGCTCATGTTGGACCTGACGTCGGCTTTTGACACTGTTGATCATCCGACCTTGTTAGATAGGCTGAGGAGTTGGGCTAGTATTTCAGGTTCTGCCTTGAAATAGTTGTCCTCTTACCTGTCGGATAGATCAATCTTCTTGACTACATCTATGTACAAATCCCATTCCTGCCCTGTTCATTTTGACATTCCGCAGGGCTCTGTTCTGGGGACACTGTTGTTTGTGCTCTATCTGCTCCCTCTTGTTCCGTACTTTCATTTTTTAAGGATATCTCCTATCATTGTTATGCTGGTGATATCCACTTGTATATATTTTTTCTTCCAAATGAAGTTTCAAAACTACACATATTACTTAATTGTTTGGATTCAATTAAAAGCTGGATGACAACGTTTTCAACAGCTAAATAGAGAAAAAAACTTCAGTAATCATAATTGCTCCAGAAAAAAATATAAAAATAAAAAAATAAAACAACTGTAATGCTAAAGTAGATCCTTGGGCCTCTTGGTCATTTTGCTAAATCTTTTGTTAGAAACCTTGGGATAACCTTCGACTCAGGTTGTACTCTGGAAACTCATGGAAAGTCTCTGGTTCATTCCTGTTTCTACCTGTGAAATATTGCCAAGCTTAGCCGTCTCTCGTCCAGAATTGGACATCTTAATACATGCTTTTGTTTTGTCTCGCCTGGATTTTTGTAATGCACTGTACACTTGTTTAACCAAAACCTCCCTAGACCGGTTGCAGTCTGTACAGAATGCTGCTGCTAGACTCCTGACTGGATCTTCATTGGCTCCCAGTTCATTACGAGTGGATTTCAAGATTCTGGTTTTGACTTGGAGCTCTGCATTGACAGACACCAATACACATCTCAGAACTTTTACATCTCTACACCCCGATCAGGGCTTTGCAGTCCTGCTGATTGTCCCCCAGACAAAACTGAAAACTAAAGTAGACAGAGCCTTTTCTTCTGTGGCTCCAAGACTCTGGAACTCCCTTCTTCAAACTCTCCGATCAGTGGATTCAGTGGCTTCTTTTAAAGGCCAGCTAAAAACTCATCTTTTTAGTCTGTCAAGTCTGCCTTTGCTTAAATTTGTTTTGTGCTTTTCTTATTTTGTTTGGTGAAGCACTTTGTGATTTTTATCTTGAGAGGTGCTATATAAATAGTTTTATTTACTTAAGGTTAAAGTTTATCTTACTGATCATTCTTGGTGAATTTATCAGACCATCTCAAAAAAATTCTCTGTTGAAACTGAAGCGATTTATTTATTTATTTATTTTTGGTGAAATGAAAGTGTGTTTGTGTTTTGCAGAGCTTGACTGATGAGTTCAACCCAAGTCTGCAGGAACTGGTTTCACTGGGAAATGGCTATGCCCAGGCTTTCAGGGGTAAAATATATATTTTTTGAATGGCATTTGTGTTTTACCTCTGAGTTTTATACACAAAGAAAGCAAAGCTGTTTTGGTTGTTCATCACTCTGACCTCAACTGTTCTAAAAGAAATGTTTTCTCATCAAAGCTGAGGCAAGAAAAGAGGAATTCCTCTGACTTCATGATTGTGCTCAGGGTTTTCAAGCGACTTCACACCGAACTTTCACCACCGGGTGGATTTGACACTGATGTTGACACAAAGCTTAATAATAATAAAAATAATAATAATAATAATAATAATAATAATAATAATAAGGTGGAGCAGTGGGCAGCTATTGAAGGCGCCCGGGGAACAATTGGGGATAGGGTGTGCTGCTTAGAGACTCCACGAGATGTGCAATGACTGGGGATCAAACCTGGGACTTTCGGGTCCCGAGTTGGCTGCCCTGCCTCTACCCGATCTTGGCCCCCAGAAGCCAGTGGTACAAAAAAATACATTGAGTTAAAAGTGAGGAAGTATTTAAACTTTACAATTACGCTGTAAAATCTAACATGTTGCACCAATTTGAAGATATGATAACTAAGAAATTGGCTCCATCAATTTGTTATAGAAATATATGAACAATTAATATCTTACCTGTATTAGATAGCTCTTTGTACGACTTCAGTCGGAGAAATAAAGTTTAATTCTGACTGAACTGTCAAACTAATGACTTTTTCTAGAGTGGCCAGGACTAATGCAGACATTTATAAATGACTAGTTTAAAAAAATGTAAGTGATTTGTAAAAACAAGTTTTTTATTTATTTATTTGTTTTGCATTAAATAAATGTTTACAGAATTTGATTTTTTTTCTCCACAAATCGTGGCAGTAGGATCTAGCTGTAGTGTTTCTGAACAGATTTTTAACAAATTTCTGACCTAGTAATAAGCCTGTATGGTGAATTTACCTGTAGTATGAACTCACTATAAAAATACACTGAAATTGTGAACTTGTTTTAAAATGTTAGAAATCCACCCAATAATGCTCAGTCAGGTCATCTGGACAGTTTCTTTTTTGTAGAAAGATGTTTCGCCCTCTATCCGGAGGGCTTCATCAGTCAGAGGAGCTCCAAGTAAACTGTTTCCCCACCAAGCAGTACACTCCTTTAGTGGACCAACCAGTTTGCTGGAAATACGATGGTTTCTAGGGTCTGTCCTGTCCCCCATTGATTCCTCCCAGGCAGGCAGCCACAGCCAAAGTGGTTCCAGGCAACAAAGTTCATGCTCAATCATCCAGGTACCAAATCCAATAATGCTCAGTCAGGCCATCTGGACAGATTATTTTTTGTAGAAAAATCCTATCTCCACCAAACTGGTTGGTCCACTAAAGGAGTGTACTGCTTGGTGGGGAAACACTTTACTTGAGACTCCTCAGACTGATGAAGCCCTCCGGATAGAGGGCGAAATGTCTTTCTACAAAAAAGAAACCGTCCCCATGACCTGATTGACTGACCATTAATGGATTTGGTACCTGGATGATTGAGCATGAACTTTGATGTTAGAAGTACACATTTATCTTGGCACAGCTCAGAAGCTGTGATCTCATCAGTCCAGTCAGAGTTAAGCTTTTTGTCACAACAGAGGTCGTTTTAAAAAGCGATCTACAACAAGAGAGATATTAATTGTGTATAAACTTTGTACAGAACATTACTCCCAAAAACAAGAATTCTCCTTTTTTTTAACTGGGATTAAACAATTATTTAAAGGGCTGAGGGAAATGCTACTTTGTTTTGGTTTAACTGTCTCTCGTCGCAGAACGAACCTGAAAATACTCCCGTCCATCTTGTGAACTGTATATCTTGAAAAACAAGTGAGGTATCAACTTCTGTTTATGTGTGAGGCTGTATCTGTTAGGATTCTATCGGTGTGTGAACCCAATGATGCAGGCAGGCACAGAGAATTCACAGGGTAAAATAAGATCAATATTTATTAACAAAATAAACAAGCTGATAAGGCAGCAATACTCACAGAGGGAACGAGGAACAAGGAGACACAGGGGGCGACAGAACTAAATGCTCTGAAGGACAATGCGCAAACATGGGGAACATAAAGACACAGACTTAAATACAAACGCTAACCAAGAGACAATGACAAACACCTGGGGAAAGGACAATCAGGAACAGGTGGGAGAGGCAGGAGCTGGGACAGACTGCAAGGGGGAGACACACTAGGGAACACAAATCCTCACAGCATCTAGGTGCAAGAAAGATTCCTATTGAAAATTGGGCTGCCATATAAAATCCAAGATGAGAGCCGCCCTGATCATTTGAGGAAACTATGCTTTGTAATTTTTTTTTATTGCTTAAAATTATAGTTTCCTCAGGTAAATGGGGTGCCCTGTGGGGTGCCATTAGATTAAAGTTATGGTAGCCAAGGCCACCATTGGCCACCCCCTGACTCCGTTATTGCACCTGATCTGATCTTCTGGCCATGACATGTTACTCTACACCGCTTAGAACAAGCAAACAATAAAAAAATAAACTACCTCTCTTCTTATACACACTGTACCTCCTTTCCACTTGAATATCTTGCACCAAAAACATGAAGGTTTACTTGTTCTACTCCAGTCCAGAAAAAAAAAACCCATTCATTTCAAAAACTACATTCACCATAAAAATCCCTCAGCGACGGGTATCATCAATGTACCATCTGTTTCAGTGCAGAAAATAAAATGTAAACAAGATTTCTTCCTGTTTCAGCTCTTGTGGTCTGCAGTGAGGCCTACTTCAACGCACTTTCAAAGATCGGGGAGAAAGCTTTCTACACTGCATCGTCGCGCTCTCTGGGTATGTGTTCACACAGCTGGTTTGCACAACTCACCAGGATGTGAGCCGTTTGTCTTTATGGTCATTTATTAAACACAAACCTCCTCAGTATCATAAAGATCAAAGTTTATTCTCAGGCGGTGTTTTATTACCTGCAACGATCTGTAACCTGTGGTGTGTGGTCACTGATGTGTGCGCAACACGTTTGGGAAGTTTTTGCTTTTATTCCATGGTTCGTTATCACAGTGGGGACGTCAAACGTGCTCAGATTGAGTTTCCTGCACTTCAAAGCTCTGATGAATTATGATCTGATAGTGGTTTCATGTGAGCCAATGATGTTGGCTGATCTGATGTCAGTATGCAGCGTGAATAATAGATGATTACAGGCAGCGGGCTGTTCTCCACTCACTTACACCAAATTCATTATGACAGAGGTTTGCCAGATTAAAGAGCTGCTGTTGAATAAACTGAACAGAATTATTCTCTCAAAGGAAATTATTCCAGGATTAGCTGGAGAAGGTTCCTCCCAGACCAGCCTGCAGGGTTTCAGCATGTAAAATAATATACAAGTCAAGCTCTTATTGTTTGCTTTGACATTACTTCTGATCTCAAATTATCATCACCAGTTTGGTAAGCAGCGCAGGAACATACTGTAAATAAGAAGGCCGATAAAACAAATGATTTCATTGGATGAGCAGAGGTACAAGCCGATACAAAACAAGGAAGCTGGCAGTCAGAAAAACTACAGACTTACATGTGTCACGCTCGGCAGAACAACACGCAGGACTGAATTCAGCTGAGAAGAGTTCAGGTCAGACAGTGTGTGTGGGGTGGGGTGGGGGTTGGACGCTTGACAGAATCAGAGCTGCTCTATCAGAGTCAGATATTCTTTATTGTTGGTCCACCACATGTGGTAGAAGTGGTGGAACGACATTATGTACACAGGGTCCCAGTTACATCCAACAATAAAATGTAAAAGAAAAACAGTAATAACATCTAAGATATGAACTAAGAAAAACATCAACTAAATATACACTAAGCACTAACAGCACAAAAACATTCCGTCGAACAGCTGCACGAACGTGAGCACGAGTCTGTGTGAGCAGATGAGCACGCATGAACACATCAACAACATAAACAGATCAGCAGCAACATTGAAACAGATCAGCAGCAACATGATGTGATTTTTCACAGTGATTATTCTGGTTAGAGATTCATGAGTCTAACAACTTCAAGGTAGAAGCTGTTCCTCAGTCTAGTGGTTCTACACTTAAAAATCTTCAACCTCCTTCCTGAGGGGAACGGGGCAAAAAGTGTGTGC